TCAGGTTTTTCAGATGTACTGACCTTTCTGCTCATTCCCAGGACAGCAGCCACCCATGCTGCCTGCGGTGCACGCCCCTGGCTAACTCTGTATGTTTGCAAATCCGATGGTGTGTGTCACTGCCAGTCAGTTGGGCCTGCATCCCATCTGCTGAGGAGTTGGGTTTTTTTAGTTTTGTGTTCCCTCCTTTTTCTGAAAAAAAAAAAAAAAAAAAAAGCAGGGTCCTAAGAAGTACTGTTTTTTAAATGAAACCTTTGTGTATTCTTATTCCCCTTACCTACAAGGTGTGTTTATATGTGAGGTGAGGGAATTGCACTTTCTCACTTCTTGAAATGGTGGTAAAGCTCACAGCAGCTATCTTTCCAGGGGAATGAGTGGAGAGCAAAGAATTCAGGTGGGCTGGGATGTTCCAGGGGCTGGCTGAGTTGCAGTGTTGCTGCTGGGAAAGCAGTCTCTGTTTGATCTTAGTTCCACTGAGACCTGACAGATTTGTAAGCCGTAGCCTTTAGCTGCTGCTTTGATTGTGAGTGCAGAGTGCTGGAATGAGGTTTTGTTCTCAAAACTGAGAGAAGGGAGTAAAGAATGAAAAGTGTGTGTAAGGAGGCAGGGGAAAAAACAAGGCCAAGTGTAATTCCAGCCAGCAGGAAGGATATAACTGAAAACTTGAGGAGCTACTAGCAAAGTTTTATTAAAAAAAAAAAAAAAAAAAGTTGTTTAGGTCACGTTAGTGTGGGGGCAAGATAGTGGGGCTTCTCAGATACAGCTTTTTGCAGCCTCTGATAACAAACAGCGGTTTTGATGACCTTAAATCCCTGGAATGCTAATCTCAAGGCGGGTGGGAGTGCCACGCAGTGGGGGTAGCAGTGGCATTTGCTTTGAGCGATGGGAAGGAGGGGAGCTTTCCTGTTCAGGTAAAGTGGCTCGACATATAGTGAGGCTTGGAGCTGCTGCACGCCGTCCTCCAAGGTGGAAGCCCTGTGGAGGTGGATGGATTACTGTTGCTAATGCAGGCTCTGTGTTGTAAAGGTGCTGGGGAGATCTGACCCTTCATGCCAAGTGAAATATGGCACTTCAGGTATCCCTTGTTGCTTGCATTTGGACTTTTTAAAGTCCCTCAGCCCCAGCGTGGACATAGTCACTAGCAGTGGAATTATTCTGGAAGATCTCTTGCTGTTGTTATTTGTTCCTTCTATTCCTCCCCAGGGATTTTGTCAGTCTCCACTTTGCTATCAGTTTCCTCCAAAGGGAATTACTGGAATTTGGCAGTTTGAGGTGGTTAACCATGTAAACCAAACTGTAGTGTAGGCAGCTGAATTAATGTAGCCTGTATCTCCCCACCAGCATTCCTGCTGGGTAAGAGGTGGCATATGCCATGGCCAGTCTGGAGTCAGCCACGTGGTTTCCCATTTGTTTGGCAGACTCAGGCTATGTACATTAGCAAAGTTTTTCCAGCATTTATTTCTGTTGGGAACTAATTTAGTTTGCTTTTTTTTTCTGTGCTCAATTGATGATTTTCTTTAAACTTTTAAGCACCTAAAAGATAGGAGAAAACTGCTCTCAAATTAAGTTGATGTTGACCCCCACACTCAAAATTTTGGTGGACGTTGAGTACAAGCTTTGGAAATACACACTACTGCTCAGGTGGATTTTGGCAGCCTTGGGGTGGAGGTGAGGAGATACAGGTAAGGTTTCGTGCCCAGTTTTTGTTCTTTCATGTTTTTAGTTCCTGCCTGGAAGGTGGAAGTGGTGGTGTCCAGCCTGAAATTCTGAAGTCATCTGCTAGAAGCTGTGATGCTGGGTGTTTCTCACAACATCAATCACCACAGCAGTGCAATTCTGTGACAACATCAGGGTTTTCTGGGGAAAGGAAATCCTCCTGGCAGAAACAAGTCTAGAAATTTGAATGCTAAAAGCAGTAAAAAAAGCAACGTCGCTATTTTGGTTGCTACAAACCAATTTTAAGGGGGTTGGGGCAATCAATCTCCAGACTTTTTTTGGGATTTGTGGTAGTGTGCTTCTGTAGCTACTCAAGCTGTCAAAATCCTTCATGATTTTGCCTGTGGCTGCATTCCACTTACAGTACTGTTCTATTAAGATATTTACCTTTCACTTGTCATAGTCCTTGTGAATAGTTCATAGTTGTTCTCTTTTGTGTAGTTCTTGAAATACTTTTTTTTTTTTTAACTTGGAAGTGGCCAATTGCTTTGAGACCAGCAATTAAAATGCCTGTAAAATGTCTTTGAATCGAAGGAACTGTTGTTGATGAGTAGACTGTGAAAGCGTGCAAGTTGAAACATTTCTTATAACGTTCTTAGTTTTTTGAAAAACAATTACACAATTCCAGGAAATGAAATGCAGCATTTCACACTGAAAATAACTGTTTAAAGAGTGGAAGACAAAGAGGAAAGGAAATAAGATGAGGAAGAAAAGTTGGGAGGGGAAAGGAACACACACAGAAAAGAAAGACTATGTCCTATCCTAACATTTCAGAGGAAATACTGACCCTGGTCATACTAATAGAAATTATTAACAAGTACTGTAGGTGTAGGACACGACTTCACGAAGTAATTCAGGAAGTGCTTACATTTCCCGCCTTGATTTTTCTATTAGACCTTAAAACGTTCAGTTTTGGGTCTCAAAGTTTCCATTTGATCCAATATCTTGTCTGACAAGAGCATAAGCTTAGGGCACGCATCTCTGCCTGGGAATTTTCCGGGTTGCTGGTGGTCAGTGCTGTGCAGACCGGCTGGAGCTGAAGTCAGGACCAACAGTTGCCAATGGGCCTGTCCTCCCTTCTCTCCGCAGCTGTAGCACAGTTTTGTGGAAATGAATGAAAATTTGTGTGTGTGAAAGCTATTGCTTTTTGAATCTGATAATATGAATATAAATTGTTTACTTTTATATTATGCTTAAAATGCAAGGTGTAACAGTCTCCTGTTCATCACTTTGTTTCATTTATATTCTAGGAACATTGGAGACCTGCTCAGGGCTCCAGATCCACTTGCTAGTTGTCAAACGTGTAGAGGAAAAGCTCTTCATACACGCCACACTTCAGACCTACAGTTCAGTGTCCTATCGAGTCACAAAGTGCTAGTGACGTCCTTTGAATTGCATCTCGAGATGGTCTTTCTTCTTACAACATGCTGTGTGCCAGTGTGATGGTTATTACAAAACGCTATAAATTTTAACTAGGAAATTTAGGATCCGTGACTGCTTGATTACCAAATAATTTTACCTCACCTTTCAGCTGTTATGACTGTTGGACCAAAATCAGGGAAACAAAAGTTTCTGGTTGGACTTGGTTCTTTTTAAAAGCTTCATTGCAGAAAAAAAGTACTGGAAGGAACTGGAAAAGGCCATCTTGCCTAATCCTTTGCCTCCAGGTATTATCACCTGAGCCTAAATCTTTAGTAAGTGTTGGAGTTGCTAAGAGCTTTCAACAAGAGGCATGTTGTAAAAGTAGTGTCTAATTTGCTGCTGTAAATGCACGAGGTTTACCAGAAAAAATTCTTCAAGTATATGTTTTCAATAATTCTGTGTCAAATACTTTTGCTAACACTTGGTAGGCTTTTAGTATGCACGTAGATGTTTTTGATATCTCCAACATTCACGAAGACTTCTAATGACTTGTTTAATAATTAATCTGTAGCTTTGGGATCATTTAGGCTTTTGTGAGACAGATGAGTGGAATATATTTAGTTGCTTAGTTTAATCATCCCTATCTGTGAATTTTGTAGGTGAAGAGCAGCGTGAAGGAATGGAGCTATTGAGAAACTCTTCTAGAAAATTACCCCCCTTAGCAGAAAGCTGGAGAAAGCTTTAATTAACCTATTAATTCAATACTGAAGTGTCTGCAAAGTGTTTTCTGAGCAGTAACAGTTATTACCTTTCATAATTGTGTGCGGTTATATGGACCTTATATTTACATATATTCCCCTGTTAGCCAATAGATTTAGTTTCTCAGCTTGTTTTCCTCTGTCCTGAAGGTTTTACTAGTGCATTTACATTGTACAGCTGGTGCAATTAAGCTTTGACACCACTTAATCATTTGAAGTAAAGGTTGTTCCTTAAGCTTGAGAAGCGATCATCAGTGCCACAAAGATTTTTGTATGCTGAGGCTCAGAGGTCCTGAAAGGATCACTGGGCCCTGCCCCTCCTCACAGCTCTCTGCTGTAGCAACTATACTCATATGTTTGTTCATCAAGGAAGATTTTCTCACTGTTTCTTTCCGAGTTGGGACTGCTTCTGTGTTGAGGTGATGTTCTGTTGTCTGAAGTAGTTGCTGGACTAGTAAAAGGGTGACCTAGAGATGTACACCTGGGAAGTCTAAACAAGTACAGAATTCAATGTGAGTAGGATACAGCAGAATAACAGGAGTTGTCTTCCTCTAGTCTTGTTTTAAATACTGAAATACTACTTAGTCTTTGATGCTATATCTATAGAGATCAGCTTCCCTTGACAGGTAGTAAGTACCCTTTAATTAGAAAAAAATAGGCTGAAAGTGCTTGCTCTTCATCACAGTTTATATAAAATTGGTGGGCTCTTTCTGATATAACTAGAAGTCTACCTAACTCTAATGATATCTCTGAAATCCTGGCACTCTTAATGGGAAATCAATTGTATTGCTCACTTGCTTTAAAAACAAACAAATAAACCAAAGATCCTTAAATGCCAAGTCCTTGTTGGGGTACAAGTTCCTGTGAGGGTTAGGAACTTAATATCATTTTGGAGACAAAACCATGTGTTTGGAGTCTAAACTATGGAAATGGTAGGTATTGGGTACTTCTGAACTAGAAATGAAGTACAGCTTGGGGTTTTCCATTAAAAATAAACAACAACAACAAAAAATCCTATTGTATGTGTTTACCCAGCCTTGTAATAAAATGTTACAATACACTGCTTTTCCTGATCATAGTAAAGGTGCTTATATAGTGAAATGAATTTCATTATAATATTTTTGTGGAAGCTGTGTATAATAGACATATTTTTTCATTCAACAGGCGATCAGCTGTAAAGGTCAGCACAGTATCTCTTACACATTATCCAGAAACCAGACTGTTGTAGTGGAGTATACTCATGATAAAGACACAGACATGTTTCAGGTAAGGCTCTATGCAATACATGCATTCTTTTTTAAAAGCAACATATGGGACCACAGTTTTGCATTATATTCTTCTGGGTATTCTGCGATCGGTGGAGTTTCCATAGTTGAACCCAGTGGCATTAATATGGGAGCACTTTGCAATTTTCTATTATCTGCTCTTCTCAAACCAGCACCAGCATCTGTTAATATCCTTACTACTCTTGCTGTACTTTTTTTTTTTTTTCCCCCGCAAGGACAGTGTAGCAACTGTACAAATAGTACTAGAACAAAATGTTTGGATTCATGAATAAGCACAAGAATATACCCCCCCACCCTCCAGTTAATCAAGTAGCTGGAGTTAAAAGGAAGTGGATAGGATGGAAATGGGGAAGGAGGACGGTAAAAGCAAAGGTAGGGAGGGCAGTGGGGGAGCTGTGCACTAAAGGAGACAAACTAGGGATAGAGTAATAAAGGAAAGTGTTCCTGAAGAGTGTGTGAATGTATCAAATAGCATAGGGGACTGTGCAGAGTTTCTCTAAGCTGCCATCTATCCAGCATGTTTTCACTCTTCCCTGTATGCATTTATTTTTCTGCATCGTCTAACATTCTGGTAACCTAAGTTATTTTCTTGGGCAATGCTTATTTTTATATATAATAAGAGCAGATTTTTTGTACAAACTAAGACTTCAAGCTTGGAAAAAAACCAAACATGCATAACCTTTTCTAATCTAGACTAATCAGGTCTGCCTTGTCAGCAACCTCTGTAATTATAGCATCTTATCATAAATTATTATCCCTCCTCATTCAACCTTTCATATGTAGAAGGGTCAGCAACTGAGTGATGTTGACAGAAAAGGAAATAGCTCTGTCAAGATGTCTTTGCTTCATGTGGCTTCTGTGTTTTGCTGTATATAAAATTTTCTCAGTGTGACTTTAGAACAATTAGATCCAAATAGGGATTGACTGAAAACCAGTCTTGTTCATTTGCTGCTGCATGAAGGATCATGCAGGCACAGTGAACTGAAATAGGTTTTTCTACATTGACTAGTAAAAGAAAAACGTAACCCATCCTTTTGGATTACTGTGTGATACTTGTTTATCTCTGCAAGACGCTTGTGCCTTGAGTAGCTCCAGTGAAACTTTTTTCCTATATGTAAATTTTGAAGAGCTGTTTATGAAAGCTGGAATTTTCCCCTTCTTGTGTACACTAAAAAAATAAACAAACGGGAGTTCCAGAACAGCTGCTTTTTTGTCATATTGTATAGCCAGCTCTTTTCTTGATTGGATAATATCCTAGTGGTGGTTGCAGCTTTTGCTTGGGGGGGTGGTACTGATAAAGAATTAGATAAGTTGGGTGCTTAGCTGTCACGGATGAAACCTAGCAGCCCGGAGCTAGGAGATGCAGCATAGGCAAAGCAGTGCTCTGCAGGTTCAAGTGACCCTTGCCTAAGGCAGTAGGTTAAGGGAGCTAATTAAGGATGCTCTGGATCTAAAGTTGGGGTTTGGCTCAGTGAGGAATGGGCCGGTGAAGCATAGCGTAGCCCACCTAACAGCGTGTCTTCCCCTGCTCCCCTCTGAGATCCACCGATGCTCAGTAGAGGAGGAATTTGCACAGGGTAGTACATGGAGACAGCTTGGACGGTGCTGCCTGACCTGGAGCCCTACTACTGCACTTCCATGGCTGGCATGTCCCTGACTGCCATTTCACAAGCACAGATCGTGCTTTTTCCTTCCGGCAGCTCTCAGGTGCCTGATGAAATGTCACAAAAGCCCTGCTTTTGACCCATGTACTAATTCACCAGTGAGAGCCTGCCTATGGTTCAGGCAATTATCTGCCATACATTTGTACTTACATGACTGGTTTGGCTTGTAACAGGTCAGACTATCCCCTCTTAATAACAATAAAACTTTTTGAGCAGAATCTTGTGTTGGTATTGTCTCAGCCCTTCTGGTGCTCCCTCAAATGGCTAGTGTGTCAGGGTCAAGGCTTCGTATTGTTCAAATTCCTCTTTTCAGTGCAGTCTGTTTTCTTCTGTCTTGATGTGTGGAATGTCATGCTGTGACTTCATCTCAACTTCATCTCAAGCACTGTGTCTTGGTTCATGTTTCCACTGTCTGTGGCTGTCTTCTCAGGATTGCACTCCATGTGTTGGCCCAGAGGGACAGATAGCTGTGAGAATGGGAAAAGGAACAGTCTGGTGGACTGTAGCAGTATTTTGTTGCTTGAGTCATGCCAGACAGCAGCTGAAGAGGTTTCTGTCACTTTGATAAGCTATTAGATTTTGATTATTTTTGGTAATCTGATTGTGGGCAGTGAGAGAAAAGTGACTTGAGGTCTGTTTTGTGCAGCCCTGTGGTACATGAAGACAAATAACTTGTCTTTTGATCCGCAAAGTCTTACTGTTGATCACGCATCACTTTGATAGACAATCCTTACAGTTCGCTGGTTTCTTTCTAAATGTGTTTTTCTGGCTTTTGTAGAACACTGGCAAGGATGCAGAAGCTGAAAAGGGAAGGATAAAGCCTGGACCACAGGGTTGTCTGAAGGCTTGAGGCCCTTCCTTGGCTGCTGCTAACATGTGTTATCCTGGGCTTTGTTCTTTTTAATCTCAATCTTTCCCTCTGTGAAATGGGATAGTAGCACTGTATGACTTCTCTAAGGTAACCATAGTAAGGAATGCAAGAAGCTTTAGAATGGCTGTTGTTAGTAACACAGTAGTCAGTGGGACCTGAAATAGGGAAAAGGGATGGCAGAGGTCTTTGTTTTCTTGGTCAGGGTACCACTTCTAACCTGTGAGGACTGAATCCATTGGGTTAGAGCTGGTTGCCTGTGAAGATAAGGGGGATTCACAATTCACAGAAAAGCTGTCGCCTTTTTCCACTTTGAGAGTCTGTTGTCAGTCCTTTTCTTTGAAGAAAGATGTGAAAAGTGTTGGTAACTTGTATTCTTCAGTTTTTCTAGAAACAGGAAAATGTTGAAGATTGCAACACCCAGAATACCTTATTATTTTATGCTTTCCAAGCTTATAACCAAGAAGCAGCACAAGTAGATCCTTCTGGGAAGTGAGGCACACATAAAAAATGTGGGGAAACTATACAAGGGGCAGTTAGGAAATTCAGAAGGCATTGTAGAGCAGTGTTCAAGCTGTCTAAATACCAATTTTCTTGACGTTTTCCATAACAAAATGAAAAGATGGTATTTTCATGCATATAGCTTAGCAGCTAAGTGGTTTAAATCACCATGCACGTACTCTACCCTCCCCACAGATACACATCATTTCTTAACCATGGCGGTTAAATGCACATTCAGTGGATGCGTGATGAAATTCTGCATAGTAGTTGTCCAACCCCTTGTTCTTCTAGCTTTTTTCTGAAGGTAACATGAAGTTACTTACAAATTAGGGTAGTCTTTTAAAAGTGTTTGAATATATTACTTAAAGCACTAACCAAGAAAGTTCTTGCTTTTTGAAAGCTGGAAACAATGCAGAAATGGGTGCTCATTTCCCTGCTGACTTGTATCCTGCTCAGTCACTTGACAACCATCTGCTGGATCACTTTAACAAAACGGCTTCACAACCTCCTGCAGCAGGGCTTTGAAACTGGGAGGTGTTCAAGTGCTTTGGAACGTTGTTCTGGACATTTCATAATTCTGTTCTTTTGTCCTGCACTTGGTTTTGGGAATAGGATTGGTTTTTTTTCCACCGCGCTGCCCTTGTTCTACTGTTGGGTGTGGTTTTTCTTCCTTTTTTTTTTTTTTTTTGGTAATATAATTCTGTGGTGAAATTTGTGTACAAATGCTACTTTGTCTTAGTGACAAACAGCTCAGATTTCTTCGTGTAATAACAAACTTAACCTGTTCCATCTGGCATCTCCCAAAGTCTATATGCTGCAGTAGCTATATGCTACTAAAAATGAAGATTTTTCTTTAGTGTTTAGTAACCATTCTGTTGATGTGTCAGTTGGAGTAGAACCTGTTCCTTCATGGTTTGATTGGACGAGAATGGGTTGCTTATACCTGTTTGTACCAGTGCAGGGAACCAAAATGTGTAGCAACCTGTACCCTAAATAACTGCAAATTTATACAAGAAGCAGATAATTCAGTATGAAGCATCAATTTGTTTTTTCCTAAAGAACAACCCTTCAGAAGATGCATGGTCCAATTCTCCCTATTATCAGAGTGAAATGCTGTTAAGTCCAGGAATCTGCAAGTGTTAAATTATCTGCTGGCAGGTTGTCTGGTTTTGCCTTGTCTTGGGAGTGAGCATTTTTAATAGCATTTCTTTGATTGACAGTAGACACTAGCAAATTGATTGATTGCCTGGCTTTTACAGAGCTTTTAACAATAACCTGTAGTGTAGACAGCAGATGCTGTCTTATGCATCAATTTGAAGATTTATAGTTTGTTACTGGAAATAACTTGGTGAAATAATACATAATATGACACAATTAACAAGAAGAGTCCCAAAATATAGCTTAAAATTACTAGAAAGAAGAAAATCTTCTATGCTATAGAGGAAAATGGAAGAAAAATGAGTAATAAAGTCTGTAAAAAGTAACTTTGAATAACAGAACTCGGTCTGTAGTGACTGTGGTCTGACTGCAGCATCAAATGAGTTAAAATTGTTGGTGGGTAAATGTTGGTAGCATCAAGTTCTTCGTTTGTTCCCAAGGGACTTTTTCAGGTGATCTCAAACCCCTAATTTTGATTTGATATACGGAGCATGAGCAAACTGCCATGTCTTGAGGACCACTTAAAATAATTTCCGGTGTTGAAATGTGGCACCATAAATGAGACTGATCCTCCAGAAGGCTTTTTCAACAGAAAAAAAAACCAAAGGAAACCAACTAAGTAAAATATTTGATGTTGTATAAACATACTTGTGACACAAATGAGATACATAATTACATTGTTGCTTTAAATATTACATGTAGTTTCAGAGCTTTTAAAAATCACAAAAGCTTTGTGTATAGATGTCAATGCTTATATCCAAGCATGTTTGGATTTCACATTCACTATGATGTGAGGAAGCAAACACTTGGGTGTTTTGTCATCTTTTAAGGGAAAATAAGTCAGGTTTTCCTCTAATTGCATCTAAAAGCTTTGAGACAAAAGATCTGTTTGGGAGACTGCAACAGGCCAAAACTTGTTATGAACAAATTTATTTCATGTTCGTTATTGATTATCCTTTAAGAGACTTCACATACAGATAGAGAATAGTCAGAAGTTATGAATAAGCTTCCTGCTGCTGGTTGGTGCTGACTCTTAGCAGGAATTGAATTGGCTGGGAAATAGAAGTCTGTTAGAAATAATTCTGTAAAAGGCAGTAGAATATAGCTTTAACTTTTAGCTTCAACTTGTCAAGTTATATAAATCAGAAATGTCCCATATTAAACAGTTTCTAAGCTCTGTCTCTTGGGCATTCTAGTAGTCACTTCACTTTCTGTGAAAAATTGAAGCACATGGTTTTGATTAGGCCTTTTTCAGTATTTCCTTGACACTTTATCTGCAGCAAGCTCATCACATTTTATACTCAAGTTGAGACCTGTGATATGGAGAGAGTGACTGCATGTGTCACTTAAGACACAAATTTCGACGTGTTCAAGTTTAACACTGCAAAGTAGAACTCAAAGCAGAAGCGAAGTACAGGAGAGATCCCTGTACTGCTGAAATCAGTTCAGTTGTAACAAGGGTTAAGTATTAATATTACCACTTCTCCTTGACTCTTGAATAATGTTTCTTTACAGCAAATTTAGTTGGCAGAGATGTTAGTTAATGATGGAACCATACATGTCTTTCTATAGCTGGCTTGGAAGAGCAAGAAGCTAAGCAGAATGTAACTTCTTGGGGGACAATGAGATCATGTTTAGTGAGGAGGTTATTTTAAATAAATGTAGGTGCCTGATACTGAAGGTGATTTGATGTGAAGAATATTCTTAATTTTCTTCTGTTTGATCACAAGGTGTCTATAAAATTAATATTCTGTTCCACTCCTTGTTCTTCAACTCCACTTTCCCAATTACGCTTGAAGTTGGTGCAACACTAATTTGCATGTATAAGTATTGATGAAGTCTCACTGTATGTTTGTTGTCAGTCAGATCCCTCTGTCCATTTTATAATGAAGTTTTCTGTTCCAGATGCCTAGATGTTTCCAGCTTTAGAGTTAAAATTTATAAATGGCAAGATAGAAAAATATTCTAGTCTACTGATCAGTTTTATTTCTGCTGAAGCAAGTTTTTTAATTTCTTTAGTCATGCATGAGCATGATTAGGAATAAATATAATCATATTGTGGGTTTTACCTGCAATACTGTTACTCTTCTATTCTGGAGCTACAAATTCTGAAAACATGAAGGTGGGTAGCTTTTTGTTATGATGTATCAAAATGAATTACGGGTCTAAAAATGTTCCTTTATTTTCATGACAGATTAATTTAGCATTTTCTTAATTGACAGAGTATAGTGGTAATTTGCTATTATTGGATTATGAAATAGCAAGGTGTTAATACTTTCATATTGTTGACAATAGCAAACAATGAATTGCAGGTGTGTTGGGCAAGCATGTACATCAGTTGTAGTAAGTGAAAATTTGTCATACCATGTCAGTGAAGTATTTCTGCCTCCAAATATAAAAATCTTGCCATCCACAAATTCGGTAGACAGTCATTTAGTGATGTTATCAACATTAACATGGCAAAACTGTGTCCTTAATGCTTGATGTTTCTGTGGCTCTTACTAACTATATCATTATCTTAATTTTTTTGTTTTGTAGGTTGGGAGGTCAACAGAAAGCCCCATAGACTTTGTGGTAACAGATACCATTTCTGGAAGTCAAAATAATGATGAAACCCAGATTACGCAAAGCACCATATCCCGTTTTGCATGCAGGATTGTTTGTGACAGGAGCCCACCATACACAGCAAGGATTTTTGCAGCTGGATTTGACTCGTCTAAAAATATATTTCTTGGTGTAAGTACTACTAATAATTATGTACAAGCAAACTCTGTTTTTTATTCTGTTATTTTCAAGCCCCAAAATTTCCTTGTACTAGTTGATAACTTATGCTGTCATTAGACTTTTATTGCTAGAGTGTACCAGCTGCAGTGTTCAGTACAAACTGCAGTTTTATGTGCCTGATTTATTACCAGTATGGACTCAGAGTCATAATTGTCTTTAACAATGAAGCTCTACTTCAGTAACTGTTAGCAGATTTTCTTTAGGTTTATTTGATACATTCTTGATAGTTACTGTGAATAAGGTGCTGTTGCAGTTCTGAGTGCTGAAGACCAAGGAGCCCATCAGCTGCATTCTGGAAAAGGATGTGCCTGTTGCCACGGTATTCTGTTGTGGTTACTGACCTTTGAGGCCTTTAACTGACCTGCAGTCAGAGACACTCAGCTGAGTTAAAAATAGCGATATTTAAGATAGATTAGTAATTGAAGATGCATAAGCAAAAGATGTTACCACTCTGGCACAAGGTATTCTTGAAAATGCTTTTTTTTTTTTTTTTTGTAAATCTATGTCTAAGCACTGCTGGCTGGTGGGGAAATGTTGTATTTTAGACAATGCTACTGTGTAACACTTTAGTCCATAAACTTTTTCTTTCCTGGGGTGGTTGTCACATGCAGGAAAAAGCAGCAAAGTGGAAAAATCCTGATGGCCACATGGATGGATTGACAACGAACGGGGTGCTGGTCATGCATCCAAAAGGAGGGTTCACAGAGGAGTCTAAACCCGGAGTTTGGCGGGAAATCTCCGTCTGTGGTGATGTGTACACCCTCCGGGAAACCAGATCTGCTCAACAAAGGGGGAAACTAGTAAGTTGAAAGTAACTGGTAATTAAAACAAAGCAAGGAATACCTGTTTTCCCCTCGTTGCATGGAGGCTGTCATAAGGTGACTGTAGAATAATAGCATTGTCCCTGGGTAGCGGACACTGAAATCATCTAAGCATCTGTGTTACAGTAGAATCTGTACTGCTATTCTGTTTCCGCTTATACAGAACACGATCTCTTAAATTTTCCACTAATGTCGCTTTTCCAACTGAAATAGCAGAGTGTAAAAGCTAAATAAACTTTGCTCTTGACTCTCCATCTCTGGAATGTTCTCCTGGGACCTGGGGCCATCTGGAAGTTACTGCATTGGGGAGCTATCTTTTGTGGTACTGTAGTAACAGGAAGAGTCCACTTGCATGCAAAACAAGTTTGGATAATGCAGCTTCTGTTTGATTAACCTGCCACAAGGAAGATAACAGAAGCCCTTCTAAGTATATTCCTGGTATATCCTGTGAAGTGGAATTGGCTTTGCCTTTACCAAAAGTGAGAGACTTCAGCCTCACAGAGACCTGTTCCCATGAAAGTATGTGTCTGCTTCTCCACAGGAGATGGGAGGGAATTCCCACAGCACCCTCAGTCTTTCCCCTTCCCAAAATCTGTGGAGCCTACAAAGGAGAATCATCGCTCATTTTCCCTCTGACCCTCAAAGAAAGGTGGAAAAAAAAAAACCCAAAACAACCAAATCCACCATATAGAAGTAGCCCAGCAAAATATAGACACAGCCATATTTCCAGTGAGGCAGATGAGCTTCCCCAGAAGTCCTCTTTGTCTCTGGGTGGGTCAGAATGCTGTCCTGCCTGCAGACCTGGAAAAGCCCCTTTTGCCCTTTGTTAGGGCTCGGGAAGTGAGAGGATGTTCTAGGGGCACCTTCACAGCAGCTGAGGATGCCCCTTTTCTTTTGAACTTTATCATCCAGCTGCTGGATTTTAAAGACTGAAAGTGTTCATGGCGTGAGGAATATCCTTCTCCACGCTTTTATACTGCTACCTTGAGTTCCCATTAGCTTGATGGTGTTAGAAGTATCCCACATACTCGCACTGAACTGACTTTCCAACTTTGCCATTGGCTTTGCAGAAAACTGACTGCTTAAAGGAGTTAGGAAAATGGAGTTTGAATATTTTGTTCTGCTTTTAGTAGACAACCTGCAGTTCATAAATTGCTTTGTCACTTTAATGGTGGCAGGCAAACATCGCCTCAGGGACTGGGACAGATGATGTTGCAATTGCGCCCTTTGTACATGGTTAGCAAAACACCTTTTTAGTGCTTCTAAAGAAAGGCACACTAAAAGAAATAAATTCCCTTCCCTGCATCCAAAATGACTTGAATTCTCATTTAAATAAAATTACATGGCACACTGGTATTGATGTGATCAGTGTTCGTTGATTGGGTTCATAAAACCAAATGCACACTGTATAATGAATTGAACACACTGCATATGAGAAAGCTTTTTGCTTTGCTGTTTGTGAAGGAATTATCTGAGAAGTGCATCAAACCAAGGCTTCTCTCATCTCTACTTGTACTGCTGAATTTTTCTGCTGGAAGTACTTTACACACGTGACCTGTTATCTGTAGTCTGTATTGTACTGTCGAGGTGTTTTGTGCAAGGATGATCCACAGTTAATCTGTGAATTTAAACTGGATTAAAATGTAAATGCCAAATTGGTTGTCATTCGTAGTTTTCTCAGGCAGGCATGATGATTTCATGTGACCTACTTAATATATTTGTATTTGGGTATTTGTTTTGCCTTAGTGGTATTTTCTACAAACTTTCTATGCATAAAGCCAGGCAGTAGGTCGGTTTTCCTCTTTTAATTTCATAAAGAACCTTTTAAATATATATTCTTCATTACTGAATTGCTAGCAATAGCACAAGTTGCTTATATGTTTGTGACATAAAGAATATTTCAGCAAAGCAAAACGTGTGTTTGGCACAATCCCTTAAAAATGTTTTAAGTGCCTGCTTTTAGTCAGATGAGAGAAGCCTTTAGGCAATGTACATTGGGGCTGTATTTGCATGGAATACCTCATTAAATACAGGGTTTGTTCAGAAGTTGAGCTTGTGTGGTTTCAGTTGCAGGACTGGTCACTTGAGAAGTTCAACTGGTAATTCACTCTGCTGTAACGATAATGTATGCCAATACCTGTGCATGTAGCTAGTATTGCATTTGTCATTTATCCCTGATGTTTCTGTGGAAGAGTTTCCCTGTTGTTGTTGAGGTATGCTGTGAGAGCTCATGCTTCTGCAAAATGCTTTATACTTGCCACAAGCCAAAAAAACGGTGTCTGAGTGGCAGGACAGCTGGTCTGTTCTGGGTAGCAGTTTTTAGTCCAAAAAAGGATGTTTTGCTGCATGAGCAGCCTCTGTCAGTCTACATGGGCAAAGAATTCCAGGAGAGCAATCTGCTAATACAGCCCTTAGAATGGCAAGCTTCCTCTTCGGTCTATCATAACTTAACTTAAACATGACAAAGGCATACAGAGAATCAATATTAGAGAGAAAAAGTAGCACGCTCAGAGGTTGGGGTTATTTGTGAAGAAGTTGGTGATCACTAATGTAATACCTTCCTAAAGAACTGCAGGCAGGAAGACTATAATAATTAGTATTGCCATAGCATGTGACAGTTGCAAATTTAGAACCTCCTGTACAAGCACATAATAAGAGAGCAGTGCTCGTTATAATCTTAAGTATAGGATAAGAGACAAGGGATGAATTCAGACAAATGGAGGGCCACAAGGAAGCAATAAGGCAAAATCAGGTAGGGTGCTAGGGAGGGGTTTGGTGAGAAAGATGACGCATTTACAGAACTAATTCAGTTGTCTGTAAAAGCTCTCGGGCTTAACTACTTCTCCTTTTGTTCTACCACTAGGTAGAAAATGAGACCAATGTCCTCCAAGATGGCTCCCTCATTGACCTGTGCGGAGCCACCCTTCTGTGGAGAACGGCAGATGGACTGTTTCACACTCCAACTCAGAAACACATCGAAGCCCTGCGACAGGAGATAAACGCTGCCCGACCGCAGTGTCCCGTTGGGTTAAACACTTTAGCATTTCCCAGCATCAACCGTAAAGATGTGGTAGAAGAGAAGCAGCCTTGGGCGTACCTCAGCTGTGGTCACGTCCATGGCTATCACAACTGGGGACATCGCAGCGACACAGAAGCCAACGAGCGGGAATGTCCTATGTGCAGAACCATTGGTCCCTATGTGCCTCTTTGGCTTGGTTGTGAAGCAGGCTTTTATGTGGATGCTGGTCCTCCGACTCATGCTTTCACCCCTTGCGGACACGTGTGCTCTGAGAAGTCTGCAAAATACTGGTCTCAAATCCCGCTGCCTCACGGTACTCATGCATTTCATGCTGCCTGCCCGTTTTGTGCAACACAGCTGTCTGGGGAACACAACTGCGTCAAGCTAATTTTTCAGGGTCCAATTGACTGATGTATCACTTCGCGATGACCACAATAACATTTTTCTTTAACAATTTACTGTGAAGATTTTGCCACTAACTCTAGATTTTACCTTTTTTTATAATGGTATTAATAGGGTGGTAGGGTGGGGATGGGGAACTGACATGGAAAATTGTGAGGGACTGTGGTGGAATTGGGATACATTGATACCTGAAACGTGACAGATATCAGTGGTGTTGCATGCTCTAAAGCAGCATATTCATGCAGTCTTCTTGGTCAAATTGTAGTATATTTGTAATCTTTTTATTAGTACCCTGGATCAGAAAAAGGTGTCTTAATGATTTTTTTAAGCTAAGATTTTTTAATGGAAAGGTTTTTTCTTCTAAACTTTGACAAGCCTTTAAAACCTATTTTTCAAATCTAGAAGGAATATACAGAATGTAACTGTCTTTAATTTGCAGTATAATTGAACTTGAATAGTTTCTTAAGGAGCTAATACAGAATGTGTGGACAACCATAGGTGAATGTTCACTAGAGATAATTGGGTATCTAAGAGAAAAATTAGCTGCCTAAATTGTAGAGTATAAAAGCTATTAAAATATCTATTATGCTATAACACAGCTGGCCAAAAAGGCATCAAGGATTACTTGAAACTGAGGAAATCCTGTTTGCATTGATTTCCTTTCAGTGTAATAGATATCCACTGTTCATTATATATGGTATATGGCGGTTTTTTTTTTTTTTTTTTTTTTTTTTTTTTTTTACCCATTTAACCTGCATCTGGTGAAACTGCTTTACTTTTTTTACATACTTAGTTCTGTTTTTTAAACCAATGTTCTGTACATGTGTAGTCTGGCCTTTTTATTTCTGCTTAACTTAAGCTTACCCTATCTGCTCCTTGCATGCCCAGGACCATTGGGTTAATTGAGATGTAGCAAGCCTCTAAAAACTGCATTAAGGAAGGGGTAGTGCCACACCCAGACAGAAGGTTTAGGTACAATTTACACGGAACTTATTTACATAGACCTGAATTCAGGAAAGCACTTAGTTCGTGTTTAAATATAAGCCCATGGATGGGACTACTGACATTCTCAAGTGCTTCAATGGATTTTGGTTATATGCTGTTATGTTTTGAAATAAAAAAAGCAATTAAAAATAAGTTATTTTTTTAAGCTCGCTTACTAGCCAGAATGCTGTAAGGAGAGCATCATTTCTAGTTCAGCTGAGTATTTTTGTTCAGTTTTCAACTTGCTGCCATCTGTCACCTTTTTTTTGCAGATTGAGATGTGTTTGTATCCATTTTTTTCAAATGTTTGCAAATCAAACAACATTCAAATGTAATCAAATATATGCACCAGGGTGGTACATCTGAAGTGGATCACTTGAAATTCCTGACTTTTTAAGAGAGCTGATAAATGTTTACTATGGAAATAATTAAATCAGAATTTCATATGAGATGTACCCCGCCCACTGTTAGTTTCATTTCATACAGAGTAACTTTTTGATTTGTGGGGGTTTTTTTCTTTTGCTTTCTGTACTCTTGGTATCTGAGGTATCAATCTATCCAGGTTTAAAAAAAAAAAAAAAATTGGGAGAAAATTATCACATCTCTAGATGAAGTTGATCATTCAAGCTCAGTTCTGTTTAATCAACTATAGCTTTTTGCTATATTTGTGCCCTTTGTATAAATATATAATTTATATGATTTTAATATATTCTGTATATATATACTTGAATTGGCCTGTTCATATTTTGGTTGTAAAATTGTTTTATAGTTAACCTTATAAACATTTTACATGTCCCTTGCCAACGGTGATGGGGACGTACTTTGTCTGCTGCTGGTTTTAATATAATTTTGCTGTATAAATGTTCAGCATTTTAATAATTTGAAAATAGCTTTACTTTTCTTTTTATGCTTTTGCTGTTTAAAACAAGAAAATCTTTTTCTGCAGCATTTTCTCAAAAAAAATCCCAAACTGTACAGTTTTTGTCCCTCTCGGTGATTGGAAATAGGATGAATCTTGTTAACCTAAAACTATATGCTTCTTCCTAGTGCCTTTTCAATGAGATCCTCTTGTGATTCCATATTCCGAGTCCTTACTCCCACAAGACAACCTTGTGGCTAATCTTCATCAAGAGTGGCAGCCCAACCAGATTGGGAAGAAATGCCTTTGGCCTTCAATTACTTGTCATGGTTCCTGTCATAAACGTGAAGGTGCCTCTTCCTTGTTTATATTCAGTACAAGTTCCTCAGGTTCCATATGCATACTGCAGCATTATTTCTATTTAGCATATACCTCATCTGTGAGAGGCAGTCTCACCTCCACCTTGTTCTTATTGGACTCTGTGAAATACTTTTTCTCACAAGAGATGCTACGAAAACACGCTTTCAGGAGAAGTTCCTTGTTGAATTAAGGCCATGTGCTAAAGCTGGTGGCCAGAGGTCTCGGGCATCATGTACAACAGCTTGACAGGTCTGGGGTGGCAACTGTATTGCCAAGCTGAGCAGGACTTGCATGTGTGGTCTCCCTCTGAGCATAAATGGGCTGTAAATGTGAAGGTTCCCAGGCATCTCCATTATCGAGCTTCTTTACTTTCTTCCTTCACTGTTGCGGTTTAATTGCTGCTTCAGGGCTTCCTATAGCTATACCCTGTGCAAAGGGCACGTACAGTGTTAGAAGAATCCTCACTGGAGACGCTAGCACACCATCTGGTTGTGGTGTTCTTGGCTTGCATGAAGTGGAAGAGTGGCTAATGGTTTGTATCCAAGGGAAGTGTCTGTTTGAAAAGACTGTGTTTTAAGCGAGGTTTTTGTTTCCTTCTCTCTCAGCAATTCTGTATAACACAAGAAGCACTGCAGGAAGGAGAACTCTCCTCTTACCCGGGAAACAAACTTCCTCAGTTCCTTTGCATGAATCCAGGTACTTTCCTACTAACCAGTATTCAAATCTAGGGTGAGTCCCTCAGAGCTCAATTTACTGGGAAGGCAGGAGTTTGTAGCATTATTTTTCTCAAACACTACTGCCACATATGCTGCTCTAATGAAATGACAGAGCATTTGGCTACTTACCCCTTTTCTCCTTCCCTCATTTCAGTAAACACACTTTCACTGGTCTGACAACTCGATAGGAGAAGGTAGTTTCTGAAGAAATATGACTGGTTCTGTTTGGACTGAGTAGATTTGACAACCACCCTTAAACTTTATTTTGAAAGTTTATTTCATTATTTTGGTGTTACAGTATTTCTTACATACCATTTCAAATGCTGGCAATGTATTCTGCAAGGGTTTTTTTTTTCACCTGTTACTGTTGATTCTGTTTGAATGCTTCAAAACCATCTTTGACTGTATAACTTATAACTAAAAGTATTTTTCTAGTCTGATCTTTAAAAAAAACCCCACAAAACACCAACCTGTCACATCCATGCATGCTGACTGTAACACTTTCCTTTTTCCTGGCAGCTTTTTGATAGTGTGCTGAAATCTAAATAGATGACTTGAGTGGTAAACGTTCTTATTTTGAATCATGGTCCAACTCGTACCAAAGAGTTATCATGATACTGCATTTAGTCATGAATTTTTTTTCAAGTGTGGTCACTTTGTGCCTCTGGGTACAGTAATAGTACTGTACTGGCAGAATAATTAAAGGAGGAACTTTTTTTTTTTCTTTTGTAAGGGTGGAATGGGGCTCAAAAGAGACAAAAGCCTTGTCAAGCTGATTCCAGTAGGGACAGACCCCCCTTGAAGCAAAGGCCTACCAGGAACTGATCAGAAATGTGATTGTAGCCACTCCTGCTTTCAGACCTGGTTCAGGCTCTAAAATGGGTTCTCCTCGGTTTGTTAGGAAGTGCTGGGATGACATGGAAAGGCTGTGATCTTCCCAACAAAACATTCTTTGGTGTTTTAATGGCAGTTCCTGGAACACCGGGGGTTCTGCAGAACTTCAGAGCCTGAATGAGGAGCAGAGGTGCTGAGTGTATCATAGTGAGAAACTGCAATAGTCTTGTAGTAGAACTTAGTTTTTAATTCCACACACCCAAAAGAAACTGTTGGTTTCAATTGGTAACTCTCCCTTTAGTGCTGTTGCAGCAGCAGATTGCTTTGATCGCCATTTTATCTTTCTTCTGAAAGTGGTAGGAAGCTTCCACCAAGCCTGTCGTGTTTCTGTTCAGCCAGCTCATAGTTTTGACACTTTTCTGGGGTCAGAGAACTGTTGGTAGCAATCTGGCCAACATGAGAATAGATAAAGCCATTTAAATGTGGCTTTAGTGTGGTAGGAAAACTGACCTGGCTTGACGCCTGCTCTTGCTTGAAGTTGAGCTGCAAATCTGCTTCTGAAATGAGCCGTGCTTGTCTGTTCTTTGTAAAGGAATGCTCTGTCACGGATGGTTAAGTCTTCTTTTCCCCGAGACTTGTTAACATGCTGCATTGGATGAGAAGTGGAATCGGCGGGTAGGTTGATGGGAACAGGTAGGAACCAGAAGTCTGTTAGGCAGACTGTGGACAGCACAGTTATTCTGCAGTATTCTGGCCAAGGATTCCTCCTCCTCCTTGTCTGCTCAGTTTTCAGCCTCTTGTGATTTCTTGGCTCCTCTCATTTTCTATTTATCCATGTAGTTGCAAGTAAACAAGTAAATACAGCTTGGAAAGAAAACAAGGAAGAGAATTAAAAAGATACCTTCAGGCTTGCTTATCTCTTCAAGGAAAATATAAATTGGAGTTGCAAATGTCTCTTACAGACTTTCTCATTATTTGGGTTTTTATAAGCACTCTTCACAAGTCTTCACACTTGGTGTTGTGAATTAAAAGGAAAAACTTAGCAAGTAAGGCTGGGTTTTTTTGGGGGGTGGGGGGTGGAGAGGGGGTAGTTTCTAGGATGAAGTCACAGTAGTTCTGCAGGCCCAGTGCAGACTGTGCCCCATTGACTGCAGCAGACACTTCAGTCTTGAAAGAACAGAGTCAGCCTCCACAGGTAGTAAAGATAAAGCTTTACTTTCTGTGTTGATCAGAGTTTTAATTTACTGGCAGCGGAACAGAAATACGAGTTGCTTGGACAGCCAAACTAGAGATGAAACTGGTGGCTGTCAAGATCCTTTTAACAGGGCATATTTGAGGAATATATGCCCTGTTAAGGAAAACCAGTCTTTGAGTCACCTGGAAGTCCCTTCTGTTGGTGTCATGGTGATTAGGGAAGGGTCTCGCTTTCCTTTTGGATCAAAAATATGATGGAGAGCCCCTGGAAGGCTCCTTGTGGCACAACCGTAGGGATTCACACAGTGAGCCCTTTACAATGGAGAAGTGATGTTTACCTTTAAACAGTGTTAGCAGCTGCTAAAACTTCTGGGTATATTTGTAAAATTGGTCTTTTATACACCATGTGAAATGGACTGAAATTTCTTTGCTGTTGTACCTGTGGAAGTACAAGCCATTTTACAGGAGAAAAAAAACCCCACAACCTTTGGGGAAAAAAAAAAAAATTAAAATACTATCTCAGTATTGTCACTGACTCCTTCAGTTTTTTTTCCCCTGCTGGTTGGTTGTCAGGGTTTAACTTTGTTTTGCAAAACCATATAAATAACTTCAGAAATAAACAGTTTCTCTTACTCTTTTATCCTCTTTCTTCTACTCCTCAGCAAACAAAAGCCTAAGCCTTTGATTGAAGATTCTTAAGTATTCAAGGTAGTGGAGTGTATTCAGGTGTGAGTGCCCTGAAATTTCAGTTAATTCACTTCCCTGATTTTTTAAATTGAACTGTTTGTTTTCAATGCCAACTGCCTTCTTGCGGTGTTAACATAATTGCTAAATAAAAGCAATTTCCAGGAATAATATGCTTTGTGACTCTTAAAATTAATTTCCATAATGGTAATTCAGTGTTTTGTTTCCATCTGTGTATCCATCCCTTTTTGTATGCAGCCCCTGTGAGTACACAAGCTTCATTTTTTAAAATGAGTTAAAATGAATTGTCTGCCTGCCTTGGTAAGGAGGAAAAAAAAAATATGTTGGCGTGAGCATAGGAAAGGGAAATAAAGATATCTGCAACTTTCTCTAGATGTGGTTGTCTGCCAGCTGGCTACCGGGCTTCCTTGTCACTGTAGAGTGCTAAATACTTCCCAGGAAAGATGCTTCCAGGCAAACAGGATTATTTGTGTGTAACTCTGTCCACCTACCAACGGAAGAGTGACCCCTCTTTCCTCTGGGGCCATCGCTGTCTCGGTAGGGAGCAGCTTTGTTCAGGACGTGTTCGGTGTGCTCAGAGCGGTGCTGGCCAGGCAGGGGCTGATGTGGGCAGGGCAGGTCGGTCTCTGGCCCCATGGGTTTCCGAGAAGGGATTCTGGGCTTGAAGAAATGCAGTGCATGGTTGAAACGCAGCCCTTCGTACTGGAGCAAAGATAGGCAGGATCCTCTTTGGTTTCAAACAGAGGCAACCAAAGAGTAGTTCTGGGGAGACTGGTTGGGGAGAGGTTTCTGCTGATCCTCAGGGAAGGAGATAAGGGTAAGGCAGGAGCAAGGACTGAGGGAGAAACAGCATTCAGAGCTGAGGTGGTTGGTGGTGTACCCCAAGGGCTGGGGAAGAGAAGGGCCACAGCTCAGATCCTAAAGCAACCCTACAGAACCCCTCAGTAATAACTCAGACAACACCACAAGTTTGGTTTTTAATTTACACCTAGAGCTCTCAGTCTCTTCTTGGTTCACTTTATGCAAGACAACTGGACCAAACATCATCCTAATGATCCCATTCCCTTGCTGCTTTTCTCCTCATTCTTCCAGCTACCTGATTAAAGATGCTGTGGTGGTCTTTCACTCCCTGCTGAAGAGAGCGTGTACTCCTGCCTCCGTGCTACCTGGCTGGAAAACTTCACTACTTACTGCAGCTCGTGCTGCTGGGAAGTGATCTTTGTGAGAGGCTTCCAGAGCATTTGTGATCACTGCTTTTCCTTCCTTTTCAAGGTATTGCTGTATGGATGCATATTTTTAGGAGAGACTTAAGAAATCTCTTTCATGTAAAACTAAGGCAGACAGAAGTTTGACACAGGAGTGTGAGCCTGGTATTTCTTTTCTTTTTAACTCGCTGAAAACTCGTGTCTGAAGACAGGTTTAAGATGAGCCCATACTTAACAGCAGAAAGGAATTCAGTAGATTCCCAGTTATATCAGTGCTTAAAATTGTATATAGGCATGTATATATATGTGTAGAAATACATTTTTGTGTAATACTTGCCTTAAATGCTGTATTATTAAAGCTCTAGGTAAAGCAGACTGCAGAGGCAGGGGCCCCAGCCTTTGAACTGAGCGGGAAATTGCTACTTCTGGTAGAAATTGTCTTCTGCAAAAGCAGCAGAGAGGAGGCAGGGGAGGGAAGAAGGCTGTGTTTAAGTCTGAAAATAACCTCGGGCTCCCTTGCTCGATGGTGAGGGCTTGGGGACTGTTGCTGCCCTTTCTAGGGAGGCGACCAGGATGCCCCTCCTCAGTGTGGGGTTAAATTGCAGAGTGAGGGGGTGCTGTGCTGAGGCTGAGCCCAAAGCCCCGAGGAGGGATGGTGCTGGTGGGTTTCCTCACAGATGGTTTCTTCGTGGGCCTTTTTTTTTTTGTCACCTTGCGAAGGCGAGGGAGGTGTGTCAGGGGCAGCTCCCAGGCTGCTGAAATCCAGCTGTGGTCCTGCGGAGCAGCTGCACAGCCAGAGGAGCTGGGGTTTGGCCTCGGCCTCAAAGGTGATGTGGGATTTGGGCCAAACTGCCTGTCAAGCTCAGGCCACAAATCCAGCTCAGCAGGTTGGGGAGAGCAATGAGTAACATCTGGCTAATCTCAGGTCTGTGGTGCATCCCCTCCCCTCTTTATTTGTAGTTAAATCGAAGTGAGGAACCAGGGAAGGGGTGGAGGAAGGGAGAATGGGCCAGAGTAATCCTCCTGAGGAGAGGGTCCAGGCAAGGACAAGGCTGAGCTTTGTCCAAGCAGGGTCTGTACAAAGCAGAGTCTCTTCTCACGTTAAATGTGATTTGGCAAACTGTGTGTGTGTGTGTGTGCCAGGAGGCTGGTGTATTCCCAAGCTCTGGGCAAGCTGCTTTGCTTTTCCACTCCCATGTGCACACGCGTTGTCTTGTCCTGTTTGGAAACCGTGACCTCCACTGAAATCTTCAGATCCATGTTGAAAGGCGCTTCAAAGTGCTACCAGAGCCCCCCTACGCTATGGGGGCTCTGTGGACACCTAAAACCGAAAAATTAATGGAGCCCAGGGGAAGGCAGCAAGTTAACAGGGACGGCAGGTCTGACTTCTGGCTTGTCCCTGCTCTACCCTTGGGTGGATGTTTTTCATTTCCCCTTTTCTAGCTAAAAAATAGGGCTACCCAGCCCAGCATAGAGGGTTGGAACAGCCATTTGAAGGTTTTCAGAAACAAACAACCATTTGAGGGGTTTCTGAAAGAAATCTGGCTTTTGACTAAATGGTTTTATCTTCCTGCAAGCAGAAAATAAATATTTCCCTTTTCTTAATGGGAATATTCCATGCAGAAACTAGTGTCTTCCCTCATGTCTTGTCTTTTCCTTTACTCTTTGTGGGCTCCCAGGCGTGCTGTGCCTTCAGAAAGATTTGTTTTCTCTCTCCCTTCCTTCCCGTCAGGATAAACCACTGCTGGTTGGGTCCTTCATATGAAGGTCCTCCTGCCTTTCCCTTGGCTGGGGAGAGTCTTGCTAGTGGGAAGAGTGGGCCCCTACTTGGGAGCAGAGCCGGGAGTGTCACTTCAAGCCAGATCAGGAGTGGCTGGGGATTTGAGTGCATGTAACTGAGCATGTCTAGACAGCCAGGAGCCTGCAGCTGAGAGAGAACAGTGAGTTTTACAGGAGGTCCCTGACGTACAAGGAGAAATCTTTCCTCCCCAATGCACGTGGGGGCCAGATGTTCTGCCTCACCTTCACTGTGGTGATCCCCAGGCTCCCGAGCTGCGTGGGCAGTGAGCAGCAAAAGTGGGATCCTGTTCTCCTGCCCGAGGTGAGGTTTCCCAGGCAGGGACGTGCACACGTGCAACAAATGCAGACAGGACTTGGATGCGTCTGGACAGACAAGGAGCGTGCAGGGAATCTGAGGAACTTCAGGTTTGGTCCATCCACGTAGGGTTCAACTTGGCAGCGGTAGGTCTGGGCTGGGCGGACTCACTGCAAGCCACCAGGCCAGAAAGTATGTGCCAAGCACCTGTCTGCATGGGACTTCCAAACAGCCAAACTTATTTTTTTTCACTTGCAGGTGGAGAAAGAGAAGATTTATATTAAAATTTAAATAATTCATAGCCCTACAGTCAAGAGGCAATATCTATATATAGTGGCAAGCTGTTGTATTTAAGACAAAGGAGCACCTTTCTTGTCTTGATCCTGAGCATTGTCTCATCCACTTTCTAGGGAAGGTGATTTTTTTGTTGGCCTTTGCTCACAAATGCAAAGCTCCGCTGCTGTAGATTACTTTATCAAGGTCAGATCTTTTTTTATTTAAAGTTTTCCCCACTCAGAAACACCAACGAGCTTGGTCTCAGTGAACTGCAATGAGCATCGTCACTCCTCCACCAACTTCCAAACAGAAGCATTGGGAAGAGTTTGTTCTGTAGAAACTCTGAGGATTTTAATTCTCATGAACAACCAAATAAAATACTGGAAACATCTCTAAGATGACATTTCCAGAAAGATTCAGAGATTCAAGTTAATGACTCCACAGTGGTTCCTGTTACTGGAAACATCATGTGTGCCAGCAAATACACCAGAAATTTCCTTGAAAGTCCAAAGTCTTTTAAAGTGATTCACAATGCCAGGCAGACTGGGAAGAGAACTCGGACATTGTTTGCAGGTTTGAAGAACTTGGCTTATTTTGTCTTCAAGGCCTGTGATTAATAAACACAGAACCTGCTAGGAGATAGGGCCCTGGCCCCTCACTCGGCAAGTCTAGATCAATTCCCTGCAGAGGCTGGTGAAACTGCAGCACTGTGCTGTTCTGGATCTGCCTTTTTTTAAGGGAAATTTTTAGAAACAAATCTGGGGGGTTTGGCAGGAGTTCTCCAAAGCTCGTCTGTGTTTAGCCTGTGAGGATAAAGCACCATTAATATCCCTGCGGGTACAGCGGCACTGTCTGTGTCCCTGCATCCCCTGTGCTCTACAAGCAAGGATCAGAGCAGCCAGGTCCTGCCCTTCTGAACTGAAGACATGCTCACAGTGATGGATTTCTTTGAAAAAAACCCAAATATCTTGGTTATGAAGCAAAGAATAAATTCACAATGGGAAACCAAAGCATCTGATGGATGCTGTAGCTCAGGGTTTGCTCTGGCAGCCCTGACAAATGCACACGTTTCCTTCGGTACCCCCATCTGCAGAGCATCAAGCAGCAGTAACTAATAATTTCCAGCCCTGGGGCTTTTATAAACTTCTTTCAAGAGGGATGTGATGGTGGTTGAACACTTATATCTTCACCTGCTGGTGAAGTTGTACTGGG